AGCCAGGGCTTCACACACGGCTAGGCAAGTGCTTGACCACTGAGCTACACAGCCAGCCCCAATGAGAAATCAGAGAAACAAATTTTTTTTAAAGTCTTTTTGTTTTGTTTTCTGTCATGGGCCTGAACTCTGGGCTTGAGTGCTGTCCCTCAGCTCTTCAGCTCAAGCCTAGTGCTCTACACAAGCCACAGCACCACTTCAGGCTTTTTCTGCTTAGGTGGTGCTTAGGAATCGGACCCAGGGCCTCATGCATGGGAGGTAAGAACTCTACCACTGAGCCACTTTCCCAGACAGCCCCAAATTTTTAAAAATCTATAATTAAAGTACATTTTGGGGAGAGGGGAATGATACAGAATAATAAAACGTTTTATTTTATAAGAGACAAGATATTAAAATTACTCTAGGGAATTGCTACAAAAGTTTCTAAATGTGTAGTTTTATTTATCTCCACCCCAGCACTGCAGAGCATTCTGAAGCACTAGATCCTTATTCTATCAGACACTTCACCCTAAGAAAATGGAGTTTTTGTATTTTTCATTTATTCACATTATTTTCCAAATGTCTCCACATTTACTTTTTTAAAAATTTATTTTATTTTTTTGGTGCCAGTCCTGGGGTTTGAAGTCAGGGCCTGTGTACTGTCCCTGAGTTTCTTTACTCAAGGCTAGTGCTCTACTACTTGAGCCACAGTTCCACTTCTGGCTTTTTGGTGGCTAAATGGAAATGAGTCTCACAAATTTTGCTGCCTGGGCTGGCAATCCTCAGATCTCAGCCTCCTGAGCAGCTAGGATGACACGTGCCAGCCACTGTGCCCAGCTACCTTAGAGGCATGTTACTTTTATGATTTAAAAAGAAAGCTTGGGGCTGGTGGCTCACACCCATAATCCTAGCTACTCAGCATGAGATCTGAGGATCACGGTTCTAAGTATCTCCAATTAATCGCAGAAAAAGCTGGAAGTGGGGCTGTGGCTCAAGTGGCAGAGTGTTAGCCTTGAGCAAAAGAAGCTCAGGGATAGTGCCTGGCCCTGAGTTCAAGCCCCAGGACTGGTGAAAAATAAATAAAGGCATACAGCAGGGGTGGGGATGTTTAAAGGCCTGAGCAATCAATCACTTGTTCAACATAAGCCAGACACACACAAGCTTCTCCTCGGCTACCTGTACCCAGACCCTGTATGCTCCTTGAACGATGTTATTAATATCCACATGGCACCAACTAGAGCATGACTAGCCCATCTTGGCTTCCTGCCCCGCACCACAATCTTGATTCACCTTTGAGATTTTTTTTTTCCAGCCCTGGTCATGGGGTTTGAACTCTGGGCCTAGGCACTGTCCCTGAGCTCTTCAGCTCAAAGCAAGCGCTCTACCACTTGAGCCACAGCGCCACTTCCATCTTTCTGGTGGTTCACTGGAGATAAGCGTCTCAAGGACTATCCTGCCTGGGCTGGCTTTGAACCACGATCCTCAGATCTCAGCCTCCTGAGTAGCTAGGCCTTTCAAAACAAAACAAAACACAAAATACTGGGGTTTGAATTTAGAGGTCTTTTTGCTCCCTAAATAGGTACTATACCAACTTGAGCCTCATCCCATCCATTCTGCCTTCTTAAAATTAGTATGTCAAAATAAAACAAAGCGTTTTCATTCTGACATTGACATACATATCCATACTTTAAAGGTACTTTAATCATGGGCTGGGAAGGTGTCTCAGTGGTAGAGCGCTTGCCTTGCATGCCTGAGGCCCTGGGTTCGATTCCTCAGCACCACATAAGCAAAATGAAAAAAGCCTGAAGTGGTGCTGTGGCTCAAGTAGTAGAGTGCTAGCCTTGAGCTGAACACCTGAGGGACAGCGCTCAGGCCCAGAGTTCAGGCCCCACGACTGGACAAAAAATAAATAAATAAAGGTATTTTAATCAAAAATCTTCCTTGAGAGTATGGCTTTGTAATAGAGCTTGCATGAAGCCCTGGGTTTGATTTGTCAGTAGCACATACACAGAAAAAGTCAGAAGTAGTGCTATGGTTCAAGTGGAAGGGTGCTAGCCTTGGGCAAAAGAGGTTTAAGGACTGGGCAAAACCAAAAAACAAAGAACAAAAAAACCTTTGTTCTGACTACTATCTTTGAGATAGGTCTGCTGTTTGTGCCTAAGTTAGCCTGGCTCAAGACTGGTATGACAGGTATGTGGCACTATGTCCAGCTTTTAGAGGTTGAGATGGCGCCTCATAAACTATTAAACTGCGATCCTCTGGATCTCAGCCTCCCAAGTAGCTAGAAGGCACAAACCACTGTGTAGCAGCACTTAACATTTCTAAAGAAACAAAAATATAACAACTAATGATTTGCCCCAAATGACACAGCAACTATACAAATGTATTTTCTAACCATTTCTTGTTTTGGCTCCAAATACCCGTTCCGTTTTTTTTTTTTTTTTAAAGTGACTGCTTCAACAAAAGTGCTCTGTGTCTACAATCACAAAGGAGACTGGCAAAAGTACCCTTGGGCTTGTGACAGACGAGGCAGAAGACAAGGGGTCACTGAGGACAGTATCTGTCTCTTTTCAGGTGGTGGTTAGTCGTGTTTCCCACACATGGCCACCAGGAAAGGAAGCCTGAGCCCCGTGGGCCCCAGCTCACCCCGTATCCTCTCCTGAATCAAAGTCTGCCTTGTCCTCAAAACAAAGGCTGGGCCAGCCAGCCCCTGGGCAACTACAGAGACAAACTCACCGAGTGGGAAGAAGGGTGGATCTCCCGTGGCAGGTGGCCACTGTTGTAAGGAGCAGTCTAGACGTAAGGAACCAACGGTTCCTGTGCTTAACACGGACAGTACAGAAAGATGCCGGCGTCGGGGGCTGGGAGGCGGCTCAGTGTAGAGCGCTCTAGCATGCATGAAGCCCTGGGTTCCAGTCCTCAGTACCACAGACACAGAAAAAGGCAGAAGTGGCACTGTGGCTCAAGTGGTGGGGTGCTAGCCTTTGCAGCTCAGGGACAGTGCCCAGGCCCTGAGTTCAAGCCCCAGGACAAGCAAAAACAAAGAAAAGAAAAGAAATATGCCAGCGTTGTAACAGTAAATAAGGAGGTATAGCTGAGGAGCCCGGGTGCACAGGGGTCTGGGTCTGAGGGCCACACCATAAAACCAAAACAAATACAAAAAAAGAGGCAACAAAGAAAAAGCTGGGCAAGATGAGTCACACCTTTAACTCCAGCTACTCAGGAAACAGAGATTAGGACAACTGAAGTTCAAATTTAGCTCCCCCCTCCCCCCCCCGCCCCTAAATATTAGTGAAAGCATATCTCAACAAAGAAGCTGACATGTAAAATCAGGCAAGGGGCTTAGGAAGAAGGCTGGAGGTATAAGGAGAAGGCACAAGAGTAAGGAACCCTATGTGAAAAATACCTAAGGCCAAAAGGACTTCGGTGTGGCTCAGGAGTAGAGCACCTGCCTAGGCCCTGAGTCAATTCTTCCTCCAGTAAAAGTCACTAAGGGCGTCATAGCTCATCAACATTCTTCCTTTCCTTCTTCCCACCCCTCCTCCACCCCCGGCCACTTCTAGACCTTGAATTCAAGGCCTGGACACTCTCCCTGAGCTCTCCCACTTGTGTCACAGCTCCACTTCTTGCTTTTGTGCTGGTTAATTGGAGGTAAGAGTCTCACGGGCATTAGTGGCTCACAATTATAATCCTAGCTTCCCAGGAGGCTGAGATCTGAGGATTGCAATTTGAAGCCAGACCAGGCAGGAAAGTCTGTGAGACTCTTACCTCCAATTAATCAAGAAAAAGCCAGGAGTGGTGCTGAGGCTCAAATGGCAGAGTGCTGGCCTTGAGCAAAAAGGAGCTCAGGGACAGTGCCCAGGTCCTGAGTTCAAGTTTCAGGACCGACAATACACACATGCATATACACATACAGATGTACATATACTGTCTATGGACTTTCCTGCCTGGGCTGGCTCTGAACCTCGATCCTCAGGCCTCAGCCCCCTTAAGTAGCTAGGATGATAGGCGTGAACCTGGCAAGCTGCTCACCCATACCATCAACAATTCAAGGCTTTGCTAACTACCACCACCCAATGACTTGGGAGGTTTCTCAAACCATGAAGAATAATTTCATGAAATCTCAAAGACAGGAAATAAAAAAAAAAAAAGAAAAGAAACAAACTTTCCAACCTAATCTACCACCTCCCACAGCCAGGGAAAGCAAGTGCTCAGGCAGGGGCAGCGCTTGTGGGGAAAGCGGAGAAAGAGACCACAGATCTCTACTCTGCCCAGTTCTCAAAGAGGAAAGGGTCAGGGGTCGACGGAGGAGACGCAGGAAAAAGGAAGCAAATCTCAAGGCTCAGACCCCTGAAGCCCACCCAGGCCACTGCACCCCCCCCCGGCCCCTGCAGCCCACCCAGGCCCCTGTACCCCCTGACCCCTGCACTGCACCCAGGCCCCTGCACCCCCCGGCCCCTGCAGCCCACCCAGGCCCCTGCACCCC